ACATGTCACCTCCCTACGGGTAGGATGTGGTCTCCGTAGCGACCTAGGCTCGCTTGGCTCGCTTCCCCATCGTTCTGCCAGGCTGAAAGAACAAATAGGAAAGATTTGAAGCAATAAGGTTGAAAAGGTTGAAATCCCTTTCAAAAACTTTTTTTGTGGACGGAACAGCAGCATGGCCTTCTCCAGCAGCGATGTACTCACAATTTGCTCCCCTTGGTACCAAGGTCAGTGTATTTGCGCTGGGGGTCGTTCGACATAGCTCGTAGTGTCTGACAGCTAGGGAACGTCTTGGTTACGTACGTACCCCTCGTTCCCTGATGGAGGGAACGGAGACGTTATGTCCCCATGCCACAACCTTGAATTATTCGCTGTTGCTGGGACACGTTCTCGGCTCCTCAGCGTAAAGCCTAATGAGTGGATGCGCGCTGTCGCCTTATATACCCATAGGCAAGGGGAGTGGCTCAGCAATCCACTAGCCAATTCTCATTGCCGTTTTCTCTTAAACTCCGAGATGATTGGCCTCCCAAGTGAGACCCCATATGTCGTTCGACATAACGTCTCCATTCCCTCCATCAGGGATCGAGGGTTACGTACGTAACCGAGACGTTTCACGTCATCATGCGAGACACTGTGCGAGACGATCACATGTCCGGATTTGCAGTCAGTTCAGAACAGTGTTACTTATGTATCATTAAGAAACTATTATAGTTTTATTAAAGGGGTCATATGATGCGATTTCAATTTTTCCTTTCTCTTTGGAGTGTTACAAGCTCTTGGTGCATAAAGAAGATCTGTAAAGTTGCTAAGACTAAAGTCTCAAATCCAAAGAGATATTCTTTATAAAAGTTAAGAGTCAGCCACGCCTACCTAAAATGGCTCGTTCTAACACGCCCCCACATACCTACGTCACTATCTGGGAAGATTTGCATAACGCCGCCCAAATGTTCACGCAAAGAAAGCAGGCGTAACTTTTATTCTCGCTGTAGTATTGTTGCCGCCGCCGCCATGTCGTGAAGGCGCTGTGTGCTTCGTTGTGAAAGCGAAACTACTTTGTTTGGCCTTCCAGAAGAGGACAATATCGCTTCGTCATGCGTGGAGCTGATCCACATGTGGTTGCCGCAGGCATCACAATATGGTAAGGGACGTAACATTTCCGTCACACGCTTGAGGTATTCGGCCAATCACAACGCACTGGATAGCTGGCCAATCAGAGCACACCTCGCTTTTCAGACCGATGAGCTTTGTAAAAATCGACGTGTTTCAGAAAGGCAGGGCATAGAGGAGAAACAATAATGTACAGTATGTGGAAAATAATGTGTTTTTTTGACACATTTCATTACACCAAATACACGAAATTGTTATTTTTAGCAGCATCATATGACCCCTTTAATATTTTGAGTTTGTTTTTATTTTTATTTTATCCTTTTTCATTTTTATTTTAGTTAAAGTTTTAATTATTTTGTTGTTGTTTTATTGTAATTTTTATTGTCTTTTTTTTTTTTTTTTTTTCAGTTATTTTAGTACATTAAAATGATGAATTTTTTTTTTCTGCTTTATTTTAATGAACAAAAGTGATTTTTAATCGTTTGAGCCACTGGTCAGTGTCAGTCAGTCATTGGTGGAGAGACTGTTATAGTTCATAGAGTTCATAGAGCTCAGTGTGATTATTGTGCTCATTAATGATGAACGGATCAGTGTTCGATCACACAGAGACTCACTGAGCCCGTTTCTACCCACAATGCCCTGCTTTGTTTACTGATACACAGACAGAGCACAATAGAGAGTGCTCTGTGTGTGTGTGTGTGTGTGTGTGTGTATAGACATCTAAGTGTTTGAGCAGCTGAAGTCATCTGTCATGTCGTTTAATTAAGGAAGTGTTAAGTAATTAACAAGGATGAGAATGAATGAATTCCTTCACATTCATATCAAGTGTTGAAGTCCACCTGCAAACACGCGGCGTCAGTTGGTGTGTGTTAACCGGTTCGTTTAGCAGTAATCTGTGTGTGTGTGTGTGTGTGTGTGTGTGTGTGTGTGTGTGTGTGTGTTTACAG